ACTCGTTATTTTATTGTTGAAGCCACATGAGTCTCGTTACGACAGTTAACATAGTTATATTTTGGCTAGCGGTGGAATAAAGCAAGTGTCTTGTATCTCTTGAAGCATATTAGCTTCATATAAGTTCGCAAGTTTCATGATGCAAAATTAAATGCAGTTTAACTATGTGGGTAGTACCGTACAACCACAACAGCCTAACGCAAAAACCTGTAGACATAAGGTTTAATGGGTGTTATCAAAGGTTCAACCAGTTCGACATTTTTAATTAAATTAACAACCGGTCAGTACAATACTAACCATGATGAAAGTAAGTTGCTTTTCTAACAATTTCTAGACGTCTAATATAAACATTGTACTAGAAAATGATTTTTCTTCTGAATTCCGTGCCGGACTATGAGTAATTAAGGTAACACAGTGGTTACAATTCCAATACTTAGTCATAAAATGCTAATAATAATAAGTTGCATAAAATCTACAGAATGTGTTTAACAAGTGATTAGACGCAAAATTAATATAATGTTGTAAGAAGACTTGATTTGTAGTAAAACTGATGCATTTGCGAAGTCCAACCTGAACAGTTATGTCGTGTGTTAAATTGACAAGGCATATTGTCTATGAACGAAGGTAAAATAGACAGTGATAATCAAATGGATAGGTGTATATGGTGAGACCATAATTTATGGATGATCTTTAAACAACACTAAAATGACCTGATTGTTTCGTCCATAAATTATAGTCTCGATGCACTCATTTGTAGTGAAGATGCCACAGGTATTCATATCCATCATTAACAGGCATGCAAAATATATCAATCTCGCCCCCAAAATATAATCAATATGTGGTACCTATAATTCATCGCTAAACGAACAACCTTAGGCTTATTACAGCATAATAGTGGGTGTGTTGTCAAGTTTTTAATCGGTATCAATTATGGATAATCCAGTCAGGAATTGTAACTTTAAAAAATTAAATGAACCGAAATAGTTTGAAACTAATTGAGCGAATGTGTCCGTACATATTGAAATAATCGTTTTAGCATTCTCTCCCGATGAGTTTATATCGAATAGTGTACTGAGCGAGGAAACTGATAGATCAAAGCTTTAAACTGACTCAGACGTAATGGTTACATGGTCCAAACTTTGCTGCTTAGTACTGAACCTCTTCTTAAGCAAAGTGATACAGACTAGGCCTAAAGATGGCCATCAATTTACAAATAACAGTTCACCATTGCCAAACATTATAGAGCTGAAAGATTTAGATGTAACTCAAAGCTATGACCCTAAATCAGTGGAACACTGTAATGTACCATACCGCATTGCTTTGGTTGGAAGGGATTTCTATGTACTCATCTATGGGAGGTCTCATTTTCAATATTGTGTCCAGGTTGCTAGCCGCGATGTGATTGCAGATAAAGATACCCTTGATAGTACCCAAAGATTAAGTACCAAGCTAGTGACGGAGATTGTCATTCTCTCTTAAATCAAACGATTAGAATGTTTCAACCTTTTCCCCGTGTTATACAACCTGAAGATACCACAGGTATTCGGAGTTTGACAACGCTTTAACCAGTAGCGCCTAATATAAATCGTACCCACCAAATGAAATCAAAAGACAGAAGCGAGGAGGTTCAAAGATATATTTGATAGGCTACCAATATATCGAGGATCGTCTGATCTAATCTGGCTACCGATTGCAGGGTTTGTTGTCAGTCAGTCAGCTACAACGTAGGACCAGGCACATATGCATCGGTCCAAGTTGCCATACCTCATTAGCATAACAAGATGGACACCGGATTCATATGAGTGGTTAGGTCAAAGATGGTAATATATAAAAGAAAGATTGCAATAAGGATATAGTACAGGAAGAAAGAATTAGTCCATAGAAAGAAAGATATTGTAGCGGTAAATAAATCCCCAAAATAAATAGCACTAAGTTTTCGACATTGGATGCTGACCATATGTTTTAGTGGACTCATCTAGCTGAAGGCGCTCGGTCAGGCATCCGCACCAGATCACGTGTGGTAACGCCGTGCTCAACATCAACCGCAATCGCTAGCCAGATTAGATCAGAGAATTCCGATATATTGGTCATCGCCAAATATACTCTTCCGATCTCCTCGACTCTGTCTTTTGATTTTTCTGGGCGGGAACGAAATATATTAGAAGGTGTTACTGGTAGAAGCGTTGTCAAACACTGAATACCTGTGACATCATCATTGGTGAGACCGACGTGATCTGGTACACCTAATTGCAACTGTGAGTCTGTTCCTTTTTGGGATTTTTATATATCATTGCCTTATTTTTTTTTTTTTTTAAACATTGTGATTTTTTTTCGTGTTTTTTCCTGGATATATATATTTTCCCCTCATTCATTATCGTACTTCATACTTCGTCATGACTGAACAGACACCTAAAGTACTCAAGCTTAAGACTTTGTCCCCGCCTTCGTTTCAACTGATGCCTTTCTGGCCCGACAACATCGAAGCCTGGTTTTGCTACGCAGAAGCCGACTTCTCCGAGCACGGCGTGATCGACACACGTGCACAATTCCTCGCAGTAGTCAAGGCACTACCGCGCGAATTCAACAGGTACGTAACACCTAGTATGTTTACTAGTGATGTTTCCGATCCTTACGAAATCTTAAAACGCTCGATTCTTAAACGAGGAGACCTAACCGATCGACAAAGGTTAGATCAACTCTTCAACAATATCGACCTGCAACACGGTTCTGCGACGGACATGTTGCAACGGATGAGAGAGGTAATAGGCCCAAGAACTTTCGACGAAGGCCTATTCAAACAACTCTTCTTGTCAAAACTTCCCCAACAGGTGCAAGCAATTCTGGTCTCGTTCCAGAACAATGCCTTAGACGAGCTAGCTGCATCTGCCGACCGCATATTAGAAATTACGAAATCTACTACCGAGGTATTTTCAGTCAAAGAAAAACCTCAAACGACTCAAAATGATATAAACGACTTATGTCACACACTCACGCGTTATCTTAGTCTTCGTAACGACCGTAAGAGATCGCGCACACCACGTAGAAGCATTTCTCGTAAGCGATCTGTCTCTAGACCACGAGAGACAGATAACCCCGACTGGTGCTGGTATCATAACCAGTATGGAAAGTTTTCCAGAAATTGCAGAAAACCCTGCAATTTTCCCAACACGAAACCGACTGATTCGAAAAGCAATTCGGGAAACTTCCAAGCCGGCACGCGTTAACGGCAACCGTAGCCGGCGAACAAAGCCGTCTGTTATTCGTCACAGATGTGACAACGAGAGTTCGTTACCTCGTCGACACTGGCGCAGAAGTTAGCGTTCTCCCAGCAAATCCTAACGACCGACTACACGAATCGACCCTAAACTTACAGGCGGCAAACGGAAAACCGATCGCTACGTATGGCAAAAGGTACGTTTACCTTAACGTGGGTTTACGCAAACCCATCCACTGGATTTTCGTTGTTGCAGATGTTTCTATGCCAATCATTGGTATGGACCTTCTACAACACCACAATCTGATCATCGACACTCGCAAACGGAGGCTAGTAGACGGAAACACTAATTTGTCCGTTTGCGTAACTTCTTTTACTGGTTGTAGAGTATCCCCAGTCACAGTTAAACATATGATAGACCCACTCTATCAACCACTACTCGATAAGTACCCTGAAATACAACAAACTCAACCGAAACTACCGTGTGTAACCAGCAATGTTACACATCACATCACGACTACAGGACCACCTGTATTCTCTAAAGCACGACGACTAGCTCCTGAAAAGCTAAGGTTAGCGAAAAACGAATTCGATCACATGATGGACTTAGGAATCATACGACCGTCAAGTAGCCCATATGCATCTCCGTTGCACATGGTCCCTAAAAAGGACAGCAACGATTGGCGTCCAACTGGTGACTATCGGCGATTGAACGCGAAAACCATTCCCGATCGTTACCCGTTGCCTCACATTCACGATTTGACAGCTACCTTGAAAGGTACAACTGTCTTTTCGAAAATCGACTTGGTTAAAGCGTATAACCAAATCCCTATGGCTACTGACGACATACCGAAAACAGCTATCATAACTCCCTTCGGACTCTATGAATTTTTGCGAATGCCTTTCGGTCTAAGGAATGCTGCTCAAACATTCCAAAGATTCATAGACGACGTTTTTCGAGGTCTCAACTTCGTACACGCGTATGTTGACGACTGTCTAATCGCAAGTCCGGACAGAGAAACACATCTCAAGCATCTGGATCTTGTTTTCGAACGACTTCAAAAACATGGCATAACTGTAAACGTTCAGAAATGCCAATTCGGAACCGACTCGTTAGACTTCCTAGGACACACTATCGATGCTCAAGGCATTCGACCTCTTAGGACCAAAGTGGCGGCCATTCTGGATTACCCAGAACCGACCACCGTCAAGCAATTACGCACGTTTAACGGCCTGGTAAGTTTCTATAGACGTTTCATACCCAAATGCGCATTACTTATGAAACCTCTGACCGACCAACTTCGTGGAAATGCGAAATCCATTAATTTGGACGACACCGCACGAAAAGCATTCTCCACAGTTAAGGAACTGATTGCTAAAGCAACAATGCTCGCACATCAGGACACCCGAGCACCCATTAGCATCGCAGTAGACGCATCCGACTCAGCAATCGGAGGAGTCTTACAACAATGGGTTAACAACTCCTGGCAACCCTTGGCATTTTTCTCTAGAAGGTTGCTAGACACCGAATCGAGGTACAGCACATTCGGTAGGGAACTCCTAGCTATGTATTGTGCTGTACGGCATTTCCAACACTACATCGAAGGTCGTGAATTCACTCTTTTCACGGACCATAAACCGCTCACTTTCTCGTTAAGCTCTCCTTCTGACAAGTACTCTCCACGTGAGTCTCGACAACTGGACTACATTTCGCAGTTTACTTCAGATATCCAACACATCTCTGGAGCAAACAATGTAGTCGCAGACGCCTTATCTCGCATAACTTCCTTGAACAGTTTCCAAGGAATCGACCTTCTTAAACTCGCCGAGCTTCAAAAAGAAGACAGTGATCTTCAGCACGAGTTATCGTCCACAACACTTAAACTACGCATCAAACAGATGGGAACAGGTAAGGAAACCTTACTTTGTGACACATCTACAGGTAGGGATCGCCCAATCGTGCCGAAACATTATCGACGCAATGTCTTCAACACATTGCACAAACTTTCGCATCCAGGTGTTCGTGCAACCATCAAGCTTATAGCAGAAAGGTTTTGCTGGCCTGGAATGAATAAAGACGTGAGGGAGTGGGCACGCTCCTGTGTAAGCTGCCAAAAATCTAAGGTTATCAGACACAATAAATGTCCCTTAGGCTCGTTTAAAACTCCCGATGCTCGTTTCGACCATGTTCATCTGGATTTGGTAGGACCTTTACCAGATTCAAATGGATACTCTTATCTCTTAACCTGCGTAGACCGTTTCACTCGATGGCCAGAAGCAGTACCTATCAAGGACATCACTGCTGAAACAGTGGCTCGCACCTTCGTCGAACGATGGGTAGCAAACTTCGGTTGCCCTTCAACCATCACTACAGACCGCGGACGTCAGTTTGAATCTGATCTTTTCCGTCGTCTGACCACTCTTTTAGGAATCACTCGCTTCCGAACGACCGCCTACCATCCACAAGCAAACGGGTTGGTAGAACGTTTTCACCGACAACTGAAAGCTTCGCTATCAGCTGCAAACGTTTCACAGTGGACCGACGCTCTTCCACTCGTCTTACTAGGTATCCGCAATGCAGTGAAAGCTGACATTGGATACACTGCGTCTCAACTAGTTTATGGAACGACACTTCGACTTCCAGGAGAATTCGTGGATCCTTCATCCTCTTCAATGAACATGGATCTAACCTCCTACACGAACAGGCTTACAAACGCAATGCGTTCAGTTAAACCTGCTTCCACCCGACCTCAATCAACTGATGTTTTCGTTCAACCTGACTTACGATATAGTACACACGTTTTCGTTCGTCGAGACTCGCATCGACGACCCTTCGAATCAGCATACGAAGGACCCTTCAAAGTTCTTCAACGTGAATCTAAGTACTATATAGTCGATAAGAACGGAACCAACGATAGCATCAGTATCGATCGCTTAAAAGCAGCGTATTTAGAAGGAAATCCTATCTACGTGGATTTTCCTTCGGTACAATCGAACGACACGACTCCGACACTTATAATACCTCATCCGACAACCAACACACACGATGATACTTCGACAGTATCCGAAAATAAACTTAAAACGACGCGTTCTGGAAGAAGGGTGAGATTTCCAGAACATCTAAACGACTATTGCACGTAAGGCACTTCTCGACATTTTATATTATTTTTTTTAAAAAAAAAACAATTTTAATATGCTTATATATTTTTATTTCTATTTAAAAAAAAACAAAACAAAAAAACAATTTTTTTAACGCTATTACGTGTTCATGAGTTTATTTTCCATTTTTTTCCGCCGACATTGTGCTTTTACGCACATACGAGTGTATTTCGACATGCACTTACATTTTCTTTTTTCTTTTCCAGGACGGCTGGAAAAGAACGATGACGTTTATGAGGATCCGAAATTTTCCATGTACATTTTCTTTTTTTACTATGTTGTACCTCCGTCCCATATAGTAAGGAAAGACGACCAGACGCTGCTAAATTTAGTAAGCTATCAGAAGAGTGTTTACCAACGACAAACTCGTTGGGTTTAAACTTCTGGCTGGCCACGTCTTAGGGTCGTCACTGCCCCACTAGGGGGGGAGTGATCTGTAGCGGTAAATAAATCCCCAAAATAAATAGCACTAAGTTTTCGACATTGGATGCTGACCATATGTTTTAGTGGACTCACCTAGCTGAAGGCGCTCGGTCAGGCATCTGCACCAGATCACGTGTGGTAACGCCGTGCTCAACATCAACCGCAATCGCTAGCCAGATTAGATCAGAGAATTCCGATATATTGGTCATCGCCAAATATACTCTTCCGATCTCCTCGACTCTGTCTTTTGATTTTTCTGGGCGGGAACGAAATATATTAGAAGGTGTTACTGGTAGAAGCGTTGTCAAACACTGAATACCTGTGGCATCATCAATATGAAGCGATTTCAATCTCTTAGTTTAAGGGAAGACAGGGAGTGTATACACCGACGCCATTGTGATCGATTCTAAGCCATGTCACCAAGGGTCTCCAACCATTGGTTACGACAGTCACGCGGACCTCAACCAAGTAGTCTGCATCTACCAACATGGCTCGGACTAGAAGTTCGTGACTTCAAACACTGATGCCACGTTTTGGTTTGGCCGCCCCTAATTCTCTTCCAACCATCTCTAACATCGGTTAGCATTGCACGTCGTGGTAATCGGTGTTCAGGCATATGTAACACGTGGCCCAACCATCTCAGTCGATAAAGATTTACAACCTCATCAACTGGTTTACCATCATTCCCTAATACCCTGCGTCTAACCTCACTATTACTTACCCGGTGATCCCAGCAGACGCCAGCAATATGATGATGTCACAGGTATTCAGTGTTTGACAACGCTTTTACCAGTAACACCTAATATATTTCGTTCCCACCCAGAGAAATCAAAAGACAGAGTCGAGGAGATCGGAAGAGTATATTTGGCGATGACCAATATATCGGAATTCTCTGATCTAATCTGGCTAGCGATTGCGGTTGATGTTGAGCACGGCGTTACCACACGTGATGCCTGACCGAGCGCCTTCAGCTAGGTGAGTCCACTAAAACACATGGTCAGCATCCAATGTCGAAAACTTACAGAGCTATTTATTTTGAAGATTTACTTACCGCTACAAATATTTCTAAGGCATCTGTGGTCGAATACTAGTAGCTTACGAGTGTCTTCTACTATTAATGGCCATGTTTCGCTGTCGTAAATTAAAACAGAACGGACTGCCGCGCAGTATACTCGTCCTTTTATTGATAGACAGATATCTCGCCTTCGCCATAGGTGACGTAAGTTGGCGAAAGTCAAGCGAGCTTTTCGAATCCGTGCTGAGATTTAATCAGACACCGACCCATTAGAGCTGATCAGACTTCCAAGATAACTGAAGTTGTCGACGCGTTCGACTACTTCACTCCCTATCCTTAGTTCAGGTGTTAACGCAGACCAGTCCTGAAGCAACAACTTGCATTTAGAGGGAGAGAAGCGCATTCCAAACATCCTGGCATTGTTGCTCAGTGCTACCAGAAGACTCTGCATTTTGTTAGCGTCTTCACCAAACAGGACTATGTCATCTGCGTATTCTAAGTCGACAAGTGGACCTGCTGGAAGGAGATCAATACCCAAGAATTCAGTAGACGAGAATGTTATTTCCATCAGTAGGTTTATGATAAAGTTAAACAGAAATGGAGAAAGTGGACAGCCTTGACAGACACCACTTGAGGTTGCAAAAGTAGATGACAGTTCGCCATAAGCTCTGACTCGACTAGTAGTGTTCGAGTAAAGAGCCTTTATAAGGTTTATGTACTTCTAGGGTACGCCTTTCAATGACAGACACTGCCACAGAATCTCGCGGTCTACTGAGTCAAATGCTGCTTTTAAGTCAAGAAAGACCACCATTGTCGGACGCCGATAAGTATGCCTATGTTCTAGAACCTGACGAATGGTGAATATGTGGTCGATGCAGCCACGACCAGGTCTGAAGCCAGCTTGGTTCTCTCGTGTTTGCAGTTCACGAGTCTTAGTTAGGCGTCTGATAATTATCGAGGCTAGTATTTTAGATATTATATTAGTTAAACTAATCCCTCTATGGCTGTCACAGGATGATTTTAACCCTCTCAAAAACAGGGGTTTTTGAGCACGGCGTTCCTACTCGTGATCTGGTGCGGATACATGACCGAGCACCTTCAGCTAGGTGAGTCCATTAAAACTAATATGGTCAGCATCAAACTTCGAAAACTTACAGAGCCATTTGTTTTGGGGATTTATTTACCGCTACAGATCGCTTCCCCCTAGTGGCGTAGTGATAACCCTAAGACATGGCCAGCCAGAAGTTTAAACCCAAGGAGTTTGTTGTTGGTAAACACTTTTCTGATGGCTTGCTTGGTTTAGCAGCGTCTGGTTGCCTTTCCTCACTATAAGGACCATGAAGTATAATATAGTACAAAAAAGACAGATTACAATGAAAATTTAGATTCCTGGTAAACTTCATGGTTCTTTTCATCGTCTTTTCCAGACGTCCGGGGACAGAAAAAACATGTAGTTGCATGTCGAAATACACTCGTATGCGCGGAAAAACACAAAGCCGGCGAAGAAAAGGAAAATAAACTCATGCACACGTATAAGTGTACAAAAAGGGTTTTCATAATATGGTTTTTTTGTTTCGTTTTTTTATGAAATATAAATATATATATAAGCACATTAAAATTGGTTTTTTTATATTACGTATAGTACGAAGAAAAATCGAGATGATATATAATGTCGACTAGCATCTTACGTGCAATAATCGTTCAAATGTTCTGGTAATCTTACTCTTCCAGAATGCGTTGTTTATTTTCTGATACTGCCGAAGTATCATCGTGTGTGTTGGCAATCGGTTGAGGTATTACAAGTGTAGGAGCCATGTCGTTTGATTGTACCGAAGGAAACTTGACGATCGATGCTGATGCTGTCATTCGTTCCGTTCTTATCGATTATATAGTACTTAGGTTCGCGTTGAAGAACTTTGAAGGGTCCTTCGTATGCAGATTCAAGAGGTCGTCGGTGTGAGTCTCGACGAACCAAGACGTGTGTACTATATCGTAAGTCAGGTCGAACGAAAACATCAGCTGATTGCGACAGAGTGGAAACAGGTTTAACTGAACGCATTGCGTTTGTAAGCCTGTTCGTGTAGCTGGTTAGACAATGTTTGGGCGCTCCGTGTCCTGAACAATGTTTTGAGCGTTTACGTGTATTAACGCTCCACTACGTCTAGGACAAATAATCCCATACTCTATTCAGAAAAAGACTAAAAACCATCTAAATAATATTTGTGTCATTCAATCTTTTCTTCAATTATTTTAATTGATTAGTATCACCGATGAAATAAAGATCCCAATCAATCGACCTAGTTGTTTCACAACTTTTTTTATGGTTTTGCCTAGTTGAATGTTCCCATTTCCACAATTGCTAAATAAATAAAGAATTTTCATTATATTGAAACGTTCTGAGCGAACACTTTCGTTAAAAGTCCCCAACGAGTATTTGAAATATAGCGCAAGGCTCAGTGAAGCGAAGACAAATGTTGATTTTATAAAGGACTGTACAGAAACCAACTTGTATCCAAAATTATATTGAGAATCTTTACGTCGCTCTAGAGTTCGACCAAATGTAGGGACTCTCAAACGCTACGCGCTTAATAAAAGTAATTGCACACAACCCTGAGCTCCCCAAGAAAGCTCTGGACTCAAAAGATCCTGAACTTGCTAAAAGTAGAACACAGTGGTATCAATAGCGCAACTGATGCTGCGAAAATTCTCGAAGCTCTTGAAAGCCCTACAGCTTCCCCCCTTCATACCAACTGTCAACTACATCGTCGAACCACTCCGCCGGCACTTGTCGGCTACAGTAATAACCAACAATTTCACTCGCCTGTTATGCACCACAGATGTGATAATGAGGGTTTGAAGTGTCATTGACTCTGGGTCAAAAATTAGTGTCCCTCCACCAAATTGGAACAACAGCCTATCGATGGAAGCACCCTTTTGAGGGTTTAAACCGGACGCGATATGGTTTTTAAGTCAAATCGACTATCATCAACTATATTGTGCCACTTCCAAAATATTTTTAATGACCACTTGATGTCCATGGATTGCTTGAAGGTCGGATCATCCCTTAATCCAGCATGTGATTTGATCCATTCCTAGCTTTATTGGGACTAGTTGGTTTGCTTTCGAAAACACAAATGGCTTCGTAGTTATTACATCATGTCTAATTTTACTGACCATATAAAGACAGTTTCCCAAGCAACCAATAAAGGGGAAATGAAGGCGAAAAAGGGGAAACAAAGGGGACGAAAGCGTAAATAAGGAGGAAGTGTCACTTTTTCGCCTTTACGTTGGATAATTAGAAGAAATATCGATTTTCCCCCTCACGTCGTGTATTTGGGGGAAATTTGTCGACAATTATACGTAACGTGCCGTGTTTGAATATGCCGCATCCAGAACTTACGTTCTCACAAACGTCGACAAAATAAGGCACAGCTTAATAAAAAAAACTATTGTCATAAACACAAGTAACAAAATACGGACACAGGGATTTGGCTGAGACGCATATACAATGACTTCGTTTTTCGTTTAGCTAAAGTGTTCTGACATGCTTCGGAGCCATCACAAATAACTTATGTGATGCAGGTGAGTGATGTGCTCTCCGCTCTTCATGTTCATTATAACTAATTACCTTGATAGCCCAATACTATGACTTCAATTAAATCACTGAGAAAGCTCGTGGACGTAGGGCCACTTTTAACTTGTCAGGCGTCCTTGGTTGTCATAGATCAACTTATAACAGAAGGTGGAATAAAATACGAACAGCTATCATGAAAAAACACAAATTGCTTTCATTTAGTGGGTTTGCTCATGAAAGCTCAATAAAAGGCAACTGACTTTAACAGTGGCGTATATTTAATTAATAGAAGTCCAGAGAGAAGTCAATTGTAATGACAGTCCTCCGACTGTTACATTATCCATTAGTAACACCAATCAAAGGCTTTTAGATAATAGTGGTATGTATATGAAGTGAATACGT